AAAAAAAAAAAAACCACCAAAAAAACACCTCTTCAACAGCTTTCAAATCCATTTTAAAAATCCACACTAAAGATAGTGACCGTCCCATTGGCAGGACTCAACCAGGTATTACTGGAAGAATGAGTACATATGGACAGGCTCAGTTCTAAGCTCTATTTCTTTTCTTTCCTCAATTTACATCTACTCTCTCAAAGGTCTCCTCTTGCTGCTAAAAATTCATTTGATGACTTTTTTTTAGACAGAATCTCATTCTGTTGCCCAGGTTAGAATGCCATTGCATCAGCCTCGCTCACAGCAATCTCAAATTCCTAGCCCAAGAGATCCTCCTGCTTTAGCCTCCAAAGTAGCTGGGACTACAGGTGTCCCGCCCCCCACACTTTTTTTTTTTGAGACATTAAGTCTCACTATGTCGCCCTCGGTGGAGTGCCATGGTGTCAAGGCTCACAGAAACCTCAACTCTTGGGCTTAAGTAATTCTCTTGCCTCAGCCTCCCAAGGAGCTGGGACTACAGGCACCCACCACAATGCCCAGCTATTTTTTGTTTGTAGTTGTCATTGTTGTTTGGCAGGCCTGGGCTAGATTTGAACCTGCCAGCCCTGGTATATGTGGCTGGCACCCTAGCTGCTGAGCTATAGGCACCGAGGCCCGCATTTTTCTATTTTTTTTTTAAAGGTGGAGACAAGGATCTCCTCTTGCTCAGGCTGATCTCAAACTCCTGAGCTCAGGGATCCTCCTGCTTTGGCATCCCAGAATGGTAAGATTACAGGTGTAAGCCTCCTTGCCCAGCCCTGAATGTTAAAAAAAAAAAATTAAAAAAAAAATCACTTCAAAAAAGCCCTAAGAGTATTTAAACACGATTAATTACAGAAAACATTTCCAAATGATGTAATTTTTTTGATGAAATTTTTTAAAAAGAAAACATTTTTCTCTAGTACTTCATAGATATTTAGTATATAAATATGCCATTTATCTAGAACCAACTTTCTAGTAGGGATATTTCAGAGGAAACTATGTCCAAATATTTCTAAAGCATTTATAGAACCACTGTGCATTTTTAACTGATGTTGGGACGATCCCATATACAAACCTCACCAAACGTGATTTTTTCCAAAGTAAAAACATCTAAAAGATCTTATATACCATTTGAGAAGAACCCATATCACAACTAAACTTGTGGGGAACTGCTTATGACTTAGTCACATTTAAGAACAAAATTTTCTGATTTTATATTCATGCAGATAGGGGAAAAATTGCAATAAAGAATTGGTATTTCTTTCCCCACAACCAACCAAATAAAAACAAACCAAAAGTGACTATATGGTAAAATTCAGTGCAAAGATAGAGAGTAACCATTTGCCTGGCTGACTTAGAAAAATTTACTTTAAGTGTCTACCTTAACATGTCCATAGGAAATATCTAGGTGTTCAGTTCCGGACAAATGTTTAATTTGGTTCTCCACTAAAAAGGACAGATAACATTTTCTAAACAGAGGAAAGTGGTATTATAACTGAATATGGAAAATTTATAAATAGTTCAAAGAACTGATTAAAAATGTATTGCAATTTAACATAAAACAAATGTTTAATAGTAAGACTTTACTATTCATAAGCTGTGCAATAAAAATAATTTTATTCCCCCAACTATGAAATACTTGTTTCTAGGCATCCACATTTTTACAGACCTTGAAGTAGGCATTGATTTGTAAGTATCACCCTAAAATAATTTGTTTTCCTTCAAAATCTCCACCATATTGACTTCATATACCACACACACACAAAACCTGGAAATAATCCAAATGTCTAACAATAGGTGTATATCATACATCAGAATACTATACAGTGTTTCAAAAGAAAACAACTAGATCCACATTGTTAACATGAACAAAGCTTCAAAATAAATGTGTGAAAAATGTAAGCTGCAGAATACACGTAAGAGTACGATATCAACTGTGTAAAGTTTCAAAACACACAAAAGACTACATATTATTTATGGATACATACATATGCAGAAAAGGTATAAAAGCATGTACAGAAAGAATATACATCAACTTCAGAATAAGTCACCTAAGAGGAGGATGGAGAATGGATAAAATGGGATGGATACATAGGGGCTTTAACTCTATCCATAATGTCCAACATTACAAAATGATTTGAAACAATATGATATAATGTTAACATTGTTAAATCTGGTGGTATTACAGATACCCTTTATATTATTCTTTGTACTTTTCAATTTTGATATATTTCACAATAAAAATATTTACAGAAAAGAAGGTTGAATCACTGCTACCATTTTCAGATTAAGCAGGCATGCCAACACACAATACAAGTTTTCTTTTCCCAAATAAGACAATAAATACTAACAGAAAAGGTTACATAATTGGCAATGTACACTTTCATAAAGTATCCATTGATTACTATATTTAAAAATTACAATAATTAAAGAACAGGATTTAATACTTCTACTTCAAAACTTTTACCTTTACTTGAGTCAATGGATCTAATTTCATACCACAAGCAGGCTTTCCTTGCTTTAGAGAGTTTCCCTTTGAAAAATTTTTTTTTAATGCTATTTCCTTTAAGTGTGATTCAGAACAAAAAGTTTAAAAGTACAGGGTACAGAAGAGACCTGGCTAACTGCAGTTAAGTAAGACTAATAAATACATGGTATTCTAATATAAACCAACAGTGTCTCAATTCAAAGGTGATAATAAATTATTGCCAGTACAAAAAACTTTCACTTTTCAGTCTGAAACTTATAACCTGCAAAGAAAATACACGTGTATCTTTAACTTTGTTTACCAAACATGTTTTTTCTTGTCAGGAAAGCTTTCCCATCTTTGTCAGATTAATACTTCCTTGATCACAGATGAAGTCTTTCAAATTAAAGATAAACAACTACTTGCCTGTTGTTTCTGATAAGCAGTGTTTGGATTTATCTTTGATTCCAAGAGTAGTGATCCTGAAAGATAAAAAATAATGTACTGTAAATCTCAAATGATGAACCCCTGAATAAAGAATATACAATAAAAACATCAAACGCTTCATGTCTCTTCAGATGGACACCTGAAGTAATAAAATGTCTTCAAATTCACATTTACTCTCCAGGTGTAGGCTTCTCATTTAAAATATTTCATTCTATTCCCCTAAAACAGCGGTTCTCAACCCACAGGAACTGCATTAAAGGGCTGTGGCATTAGGAAGGTTGAGAACCACTGCCCTAAAACATTAAAGAAGAAAATCCATCTAAAATCAAGAACCAAGAACAGCAGAATAGATGACTACTAAAGTTTTATTGAAATGAAAATTTTAAGGTCTAAATGACCACTTGAAGCCATTCTTTTAAACAAAAATTTTATTGCATTCCCAGTTTAACAAATAAAACACATTACAAAGAACCATAACAGGGATCCAAATATTCAGTACACAAATTACAGTGCTACATTTATTCTTTTCTCTCATTCAGAAGAAAAGAACACCTTATGTAGAAATAAAAGTCTGCAATTATATAAAGGGGAAAGTATAAGAATATAAAATATGCACGAATACAGGTGGTTGTTTTTCTATTAACAGCACACATCACTTGCTCAACTCAGGCATCTAGCCGCTGTAGAAAGTGCTTTTTAGCTTTATAATGCTTATGATTTTAAAATTTACATGACTACGGTAAGTCAACGAACAGAATACAATTTGCTTTGGTGACCTAACTTCCTGAGACTGTAAGGTATTCACTTTTTCACAGCACCTTCTACAAAGACAGCCCCAAGGGATCTCAGACTAAAGATGTCTGTGCTTGTGCGTACATGTACCGTGGCAACAGTCAGCAAAAACCTCAGGAAAAGGTGTCTTTTGGTTTTTCCCCAGCACCTGTCGACTGCGGCAACCGGGGACCGCAGGGAAAACCCACTAAAAAAGGACACTTAACCAAAGTTTCGCTAAATCTTTTGTACTAGACAATCATGGACGAGGGCTATGTTAGGTTCCTAGGGCCAGCAGTCACCGCCTAGTCTCTCACTACTTTCCCCGTCTCTTTCACACTTCAAAAAAGGAGAAACTGGAGAGAAAGGAGTCAAATCCGTAACAGAAACGAGAGGCGGGGGAATAGAGAATCTGGTGGGGACTGAGGGTAAATCCTCACAAAGTATTTTGTGTTTACCATATAGGTAAGAGCAAGCTCCAGACCAACGCGCTGTCCCAAGAGGTGATAATAACACTAACCCAACCAAGGCCTCAACTCCAGGCTGTGCCCCACCAAAGGCACTGTCCCCTGTCCTACCGTTCCAACAATCTTACCGTCGGACTCTGCCCGAACCAGCAGCGACATCCCTTTGAGCTCCTCCACATAAGTGGAGGAGACGTGCCCAGTGCCTCGGTCGTCCCATTGCCGGTCTTCGTTCAGAGTATAGACCTTCACTCGCCGCCGTGTATCCGACATGGTGGCTACGGTCCCCTCCGTTCCAGCCGCCGCCTCCTCGCTCACCTCATCCGCGCCCCTCACTCTCGAGAGATGGTAGCGGCGGTGGCGGCGACTCCGAGGAGGCCCGAGTTCACCATGGCTCCAAAGATTCAGCCACGAGAAGGGAAGACAAGAGCCACCGAACCCCTCCACCCGCAGTCCCCGTTACTTCTCACTTCACCCCTGTATACACCCACCCTCCCCTCCCTTTCCCCCCCAAGCTCGATCTCCCGCCGCCGCCGCTACCGCTACAGCCGCCGCCGCCGCCGCAGTAACTACTACAGATCCGCCATCTTGTAACCCGACTCTCTCTGCCTTTCTCTTCCTCCTCCAGCAGGCTCACACGGGCTGTCCTAGCAGGGGCTACGGCGGCCGACGAGGCCAACGAACGGACCTTAGCTTCTGCACGCACTTCCCAGGCCGGAATGCTCCGTACTCTCGCGAGGAGTGGTACGAGACTGAGGTGGGCGGGCCTAACCGGGACTTCCTTTTCTCTCGGCCCCGCCTCCTGGCCCGGGATCTCATTGGGCCTGAAGGTTCTCGCGAGGTCGCGCGGTTTTTTTTTTGTTTGTTTGTTTGTTTTTGCTTGGGAACATTCTCCAGTGCTTGAAGACTGTGGGCGTCCGACGTGGGTTGCTTTTGATTTTTGGCTTGTCCTGTGTACTGGGACTCAGCTCTGAGGAAAAAGTAAAGCAAACCCGGGAAGTAAGCATCCTTGAGAGTAACCAGGAGAAGGAAGAAAATTTGCTCGCACTCCTTAAAGGCAGGCTCCCCCTGCCAGCCAGACCGTAAGAGGGGGGAAAGGGTTTAAACCTTTTTCTATAAAGACGAAGGAATGTTGAGCTATTTAAGCCGAACCAAATACACTAAGGCTTGTTAAGGAATCGTAGGAGTGAACAACCACCCACTGGACACTAAAATCTGGGGATTTTAACGTCGTACAAAAGTCTGTTGACAATTTCTATTTCCTGCCAAGCCGTTTCACCGTCTGGGTCCCACTAGTCGGCTTTTGAAAAGCATCCTTTACGCTTCCTGAGAATACAGTGCTCTTAACATGTTTGCAACCTCAGGGAATAATTCTGCAGGTAAGTTTAGGAAAGTGGCGAAGAGCTACCCTAACACATCTACAGGCATTGTTTTGATATTCTAGAATTTCTCTGGGGGTACATCCTGCATTATCTATGGGCAAGTCTTACGCACTTGTTTAAGCCAAGGAAGAATTGTCTCGGCGTTCGCGCTAATTGTCACATTGCGCGGTGGATAGTCAACTCGCTGGGCAGTTGTAACATGTATTTTTATTTTAATCCCTGTTCGTTCTTGGGAAAATCCCTTTATCCCTTCTTTAATACAGGCTCAGCTGGTTTAGCCTGCCAGTCCTTTACAACCCAGTAGTCTGAAAGCTGGAAAACCAGGGGAGGAAGGTGCATGTTCGCCCTGTGGTGCACCTTGGGATTTGTAGTCACAATTTACCAATAGTCTTGTCAGAATGTGTATGTTTTGGCCGGATTACTTATGTGTGGACACCCTTCAGCAGTACAGTAAAACATGGGACAGTGTGTTACACGGAGGAAGTGCCTGATTAAAAACAAAATACATTCTAATTTAAAAAATCTAGATTTGTCGTTTAATCTACAGGGGAGCGCAGAAAATGTAATCGAATTGAGTCGTGATTATAGAGCCTTATAATTGAGGTGATTGATGTGACAAAATGTATTTTGAGCCCAAGGAACAGGACATTTCTGCCCTGGAGGTTGTACACCCTTACCTTCTGTCCAAGCATCACTCCCTGGCTGCTCCTCAGGAGACCACTTGGGAAGAGGACTCTGCAGACGCTGGAAGCAGGTTTGACCTTTGGGTAGGGAATTTGAGGCGCTCAGAGCATGGACCACAGAAGAGAAAAGGGGGTCCTGGTGGCCACGTCCTTTGATTCCGTGGAGTTCACACATCATGGAGTGAGGCCAGATACAGGCCCTAAAACGCAGGACCCAGTTTTACACCAGCAGAAGCTCTTCTCTTCAGGCAGTCCACAGAGTTCCACTACAAAGGGTTACTATTATTTTGCACGATCCCCCTTTGTTTTGAATAATTAATACCTTTACCTGTACAAAATTAAAGGGCAAGGAAGGCATACAGTGAAAAGTAAGTTTCCTTTCAGTCCGTGTCCTGCCACTTTTGAAATTTTCCTTGCAGAATCACCACTATTCCATTTTCTTGTATATGTTGCCAGAACAGGGCCAGCTTTAGGGATGTGTGACTTGTGTAGTTAAACATTTTGTTTAACACACTATCACTATCTTGAATGAAATTCTTAAAAATTTTTGAACAGGGGCCCCACAGTATGTATGTAGTCCTGTTCCAGAAATACTCTGTGTATATCCAAGTAAATATATAAATATAAGTATATATATGTAACTGGCTCTATGAACAAATTTCAGTGACCCCTATATATTTCTTTATAAACCTGTTCCTTAACTACTTGACTTTTACAGTTGTTTCTGAGAAGTAGTGAATTTTCTAGAAGTGGTGAATTTTCTGCAAGACAAAGGAGCTCATATTCTGCAACCTGCCTTCTGTGCACGTAGCCTTTTGTTATACCACCACCTTAAGGCACGTGGCCCCTCCTTTAAAAGACCCTGTCTCCCTTAGTTTGGGAGAAGGATTTGAGGCAACTTCTTCCATTCTCCTGACAAGATGTCTTTGTATTAAAAAATTCCTTTCTTTCTTGACAATCCTCATTGTGTTAATAATTGGATCTTCATGGGAGAGGAAACTAGACCTAGACCCAAACCCTCTTGCAGTTTTGAAAACACGTATATGTAAATATATACTATTTATCACCTTTATTTTTAATTAAAATACAGTCATGTGTTGATTTGGTGAATGACAGACCATATACAAGACAGTGGTCATAAAATTATAATACTTTATTTTTACCGTACCTTTTCTATTTTTAGGTATGTTTAGATAACAAAAATATTTACCATTTTCATTATAATTGCCTGCTGTATTCAGCAACATGCTGTGCAGATGCATAGCCTAGGAGTAATATGATATACTTTCAAGGTTTGTGTAAGTACACCCTATGATTACATGATGATGAAATCACCCTAATGACACATTTTTGAGAACATATCCTCATTGTTAAGTGACCCATCACGGTAATGTTGTAACAGTAAAATAAACTATTCTTCACTTTCCTTTTGTTTTTTAACTTAGAGTGTATTTTGGTAGTGGTTCTGAGTCACTGTATACATAGAGCTAACACATTAATAAATTACCCTAATTTATTTAATTCATCTCTTGTATATGTGTATTTGTGTTGTTTTAAATATTTTGCAATTTCAAACAATAAATGATTGTACAAAAGTAGTTTTATGTATGCCAATGTATTTGTAGGTTGAATTCCTAAAGCAAGATTTCTCAACCTCAACATCATGGACTTTTTTTTTTTGAGAGTCTGACTTTGTAGCCATTGGTAGAGTGCTGTGGCATCACAGCTCACAGCAACTCAAACTCTTGGGCTTAAACTATTCTCTGGCCTTAGCCTCCCAAGTAGCTGGGACTACAGGTGTCGGCCACAACTCCTGGTTGTTTTTAGAGACGGGGTCTTGCTTTGGCTCAGGTTGGTGTTGAACCTGTGAACTCAGGCAATCCACCCACCTCGGCCTCCCAGAGTGCTAGGATTACAGGTGTGGACCACAGCACCTGGCCTACCATGGACACTTTGAGCTGGATAATTCATTGTGAAGGGTATAGTCTGTGTAAGGATGTACGTGTATTCTCTTGTGTCTCATCCTTGTATGTTACTAAAAATCTTAGTGGCCAAAAGACTTACAAGGCCCTCTTGTCCTGCTTCTTGTCCTGCAGCCTTCCCTCTCCAGCTGCATCTTCATACATTCTTCCTTCACATTCTCATGCCATGGTGCTTTTCCACAGGAATTCTCTTTGCCTGAAACTTTTTTCCCGCTAATCATCTCTTGAGAGCTCATGCTTTATCCTTCAAATGATGCCACAATTACCACTTCTGTGGAGGAGCCTTCCTGGACTTTCTTATGAGTTCAAATCCCCTTTGCTATGTTACAGGTATCACATAAATAAATAAATATGTAAATACATAAATAAAATAAAAAATTCAAACTGGTTTAAATGATCAAAGAAGTTATCTAAATGGGAAAAGCCTGAAGATAAGATGAATTTCAGAGTTGATTTTACTGAATAACTTAACAGTATCAGCAGGAACTTGATTTCCTTCTACCTCTCAGTTCTTTCTGCTCTGTTCAATTCATTCAAAGACCTTCCTTTTGTATCATAAAATAGTGGCCAAGAACATCCACATAGAAATTTTTTTTACATGTTCCCAGTTTGAACATGTTTAGACTAACTTAGGTTATTTGTCTACTCTGATCCTAGAGTTTTGTGGTCTACAGAATGTCAAGTACTGATTGGCTGAGACAGATCAATGCCTATCCCTGTAGCTGGGGGTGGTGTTAACTTTTCCTTAATCCCACTGACGTTACTCTATGGGGTACTGGTTAGATTCTATGAAGACAACCAGAATATCAGTTATCCCTCATCACACACTGATAACACCATGCACCCCCCCCATAGGACTTTTTATACTTGTACATTTATGTTTGTATAATTTCTGATTAATGACTGTCTTATCTAGATGAAAAATCTTGAGTCCAGGGAATTGTCTTACCATTGTATCTGCAGTGCTTGCCATAGGATGTCTTCAAACATAGCAGATTTTCTATAGCTGTTGAAAGAATAAAGTTTCTCCCAGAGGTTGACTTCTCAGATGTTAGCAGGCAATTTAATATTACTGTATCAGTTTTGACAAAGATTATATTACATCTTTGAAAGCCCTACATTGCTGTCTCTAATTTCTATCTCCAGGTAGTCAGTTCTTTACACCACTGAGTAATGAATTTGTGGAACAAATTTGACCATACTGAGGTCCTTTAAAATCTTTTAGTAGTTTATGATTTTTGTAGAATAAAGCTTTTCAGGATGATACTGAAAGCTCTTTGTGGCTTGGCCCTGGCCTGTATTTTTGTTCTCAAGGTTATAGACTTACTGAGCTTCTTTAGGTTGTTTTTCTTTTTAAATTATAGCCATTCTCCTTCGCCTCACAAAATATTGAGTTTATTTTTAATTTGAGATGGGGTCTCACTGTGTCACCTAGGCTGGAGTATAGTGGTATGATCATAGAGCAATGCAGCCTCAAACTCCTGGGGTCAAGCTATCTTCCTGCCA